GCAGCCCGGAGCTGGCGCACGGCCCCGTGCAGCCCCACGCCAGCGCCTCCTTGCAGTGGCTGCATCGCCGCGACCAGCACTTCCATCTGGCCAAGGCCCGGTTCGAGTGGGCTGCGGAGGAGGGCGGCAGCTGGACCGAGCTGGGCAGGCCGTGGGCGGAGGCTGCCCGGCAGGGCTGGGGCGTCAGGGACAGCCGGGAGCCCGGGTGGGCTGTACCACGTCGTGGAGCGGGGCAGCAGGAGGACGGGTGCAGTTGCCGGCACTGCCGGCCGCAACTGTGCCACGCGGTGTGCGATGCCCGCGGATGCTGCTGCCGCGGCTGCTGGGCCACGACAGAAGTCCCGGGGGGGCCCCGCAGCAGGGACGGGGGCCACGGCTGCAGCGCCGCCTTTCCCTGCTGCTGCCCCGAGCCAGCCTGCGCGGTGGCCTCCCACCACGGCAGAGGCCCTGGCAGAGCTGGCACCGGGGGGCCGCCACGCGCCTGGGGGTGGGTCGAGAGGTACCCCAGCGACCCCCCCAGCCTGCTCCCTGGCCCCCACGCGGCCACCCCAGCACCCACGCGGGTGCACCCCAGCCTCAGCACCCTGTGCCTGCCGGCCCACGCCTGGGACCACGGCCCTGACCACGCGCCCGGGAGGCCACGCCAGCGAGACCACGACTCCCCACCTTGGCCTGGCCGGAGCTGCCCACGGGAGCCGGAGCCCGCGCCGAGCCCGCTGGGCTGCCAGGTGGGTGTGGGGCCACGCTCCCCCGGCCTGGCCCAGGTCCCAGCGGGGAGGGCACCCTGTGCCTGCCGGCCCACGCCTGGGACCACGGCCCTGACCACGCGCCCGGGAGGCCACGCCAGCGAGACCACGACTCCCCACCTTGGCCTGGCCGGAGCTGCCCACGGGAGCCGGAGCCCGCGCCGAGCCCGCTGGGCTGCCAGGTGGGTGTGGGGCCACGCTCCCCCGGCCTGGCCCAGGTCCCAGCGGGGAGGGTCTCTCCGAGCCTCGGCACCGAGGAGCCAGGACCCGCTCCCGGGTGGACGGCGGACACAGGGACAGGCGTGGGGGGCTGGGGGGGGCGGCCCCTGC